TTGAGTAGCTAATTAATTGTTCCTTTAGTAAGTTTTTCTTTTCCCCCCCAAACAACCCATAATTAGATATATGGGGAGTTTCTTGTCTTAGTGCTCCACAATTAGAATTTAAATTTTAATCCTCAGTACAAATAATTGATTCTAGATAATCTTCCATTATTTTATGTGAAGATTATTTTTATGTTAATTTCTAATGACTGAAAGGAAGAATAATCACTAATCTGCTCCACTTTAGATGCAGCATCAAACATTTCTACGTGGGCAGTTAAATTATCAGAGTAAAATCAATTTGAGTAGAATATTGAATATAAGGGCAGAGAGACTAGAATAATAGTCTGCATCTGGCTATGGAAGTAAATTAAGGAAAGAATGAAAATGTGGTATCGAGTTCAGCAAAGCAAATTTGGGCAGGTGAGCAGAGAATGGAAGGAAAGGCAAATACCTGTGGCTAAAACCACCTCCAAGCAGCTTACTCTAAATACTAGTCTTCCTTACACATTTCAGTTGAGGAAACCAAGGGAAAGATAAAAGAAATTGGCAAGGAATTAAGTACTGTATAAAACATCAGTATGCTCAAAAAAATCACACATCTGCAATTCAACAGCTGATTCTTTATGTTTCATGTGACGAAACATTGCTACGACAGAGAAAATATTAAATTTCTCATCAAGCAACCTAGTCCGGCTATTAAATTTCCAGGAATTAAGTGAGGAAGCATTATAAAAATAACACTTTTTTAAAAAGTTAAGTCCTTTCAGCTTCATCATCATCACCTCCATAAGTTATTATGACTATCGTTTGCCAAATTATCAAAAGCACCTCTATCTGATTAAACTTTCAATACAGTAAAATCAGATGAGAGCTCAAAGTTCACTGGAACTCTAATATTACTGGCACTAGTCTCTCTTGAAGTTTTTTTTTAGGCTCTCGAAACCTTAAGTAAACAAATCCAACAGCCAGTGAAAACTGACACACCCAGAAACTCTCCGCAAAACATTTACTTCATAGTTCACAACAGACTGTCCTATTCTGTCTCTGGGTGGCCTTGCCTGGAGCTAAAGGTAAAAAATAAAAATAAAAACCACTCCCTAACACCTTCACATTTTATGGATGGAAAAAATGAGATGGAAAAAGGAACAAGCAGGCTTCAGAGAGAGGGCAGGCACAGAGGAACTATCATCTTCATGGCATATACATACCACACCTTCTGACTCTCCTAAGACTTTCATTTTTGCTTATCTGTACCTCTAGAATTCTTCAAACATCAGATGTATAGGAAGCTAGAGCTGAACTATCTTTTATTCCCACGAGCCAAAAAAAACCTATCCTGGAACCAATGTCCAGGATTCTCAATTAACCTTCATGGCCAGAAATCAATTTGCTCAAAGGCACCTATGATAGTAGTTTCTGAGGTTGCTCTCAACAACATCCTAACAGAGAATTTGTGAAAAACAAAGTCTCACTCCATACATCTCTAAAGACAGGTTAGATATCAGTAACATGCACTGGGGAGATATTTTTAGAGAGAGAGACTTGGTGGACCTTCAGCAAATCACATCATAAGGAATCCGCCTACCGGTAGAATTAACAATATATACAAAAAAGGAAACTGCTCTAACCTCTCTCAGCCTCACTGCAGTATTTCATTGGTAAATGTTAGTGTGGAATTAGTCACTGTTATTCGCCAGGTTGCTCTCCAGGTAAAGAGTCAAAGGATCCGCCATCGGCTACCACTCCAAAAACAGCCTTTGCCAGTCTTGACCCAAGAAAGTACCCTGGACAATGTTTCTCTCCTAACGATAAGCAGGAAAATAAGCAAGAAAGGAAGGGAAGGGAAACGAGTGTTTAGTTTTGTAAAGGCCAAGTTCTCTCCACATATTCCTTTAGAAGCAATTTATTTTCAGTGCCTAGATCCACTTCTTGAAAATGGAAATCTGATTTTTACCTTGTAGTAAAATAATTTTCACTTATCACACCTTCTTAAAGTTCTGAGTAAAACCTGAGGCCACAGCTCTTGCAACACGGACAATAATTCTAAGAACAAAGTTTCACAAAGTACTAAAAATCAAGTTTAGAAAAAGAAACCTAGGATTTTAATAAAAGACTCGATGATTGCTGACTTTTTTAAATACTTACCCACTCTTCGACATTAGGGGGCTGCTCATCATAAATACGTTCCTTTTCCCACAAAATGTTTGACTTGTCATACTGGTCCATCTTTCTTCGAGTTTTCACAGCAAAGAAAATTATTAAAGCAAAAGCCACAATAACCATGAACCCCAGTACAATGGCAATGGCCTAAAAGAGATTAAAGATATTGACATAATTAGATTTTAATTGCTTACTTTATCCCAATTCACCTTCTACAAGTACTAATCCACCCTCTACAAATACTCTATTAAATATCTGTGGCTTAACTGATATAAAACTGACGCAAATGGTTATATTTTAGAAATATAAAACCTAGCCCATACCATTTGGGCTAAGACTAGCAAAACACACATACTTTGATTCAGTCCTCAGAATATGCTTCTGTTCTGTACTATCACCATCCCCATTTCAGAATTATAGAAAACTACTCCAAAGCTTAAACACCAAGGGGCCATATTTTATAGAGGCTCTGCCTTACCATAAACTATGCAGACATGATCTAACCAAGCTATAAATTTAAGAAAATGGACTAATGATTTATTTAGTCTGGCAGGTTTCTCTGTTTTAGGAGTCTTTCATGTACTTACTAGAAAGGGACCTCTGACAAGGAAACTCTTCCCTTGACATTTCTCCCAATGTCTGATAAGTATACTAAGGGGTACACTGGCCCAGAGGCACGTGGAGTTGAGGCAAGTACCAGGACTCTGCCTCTGCCTTGAATATCTGCTAATGGGTAACAGGAGGCTTGCTCTGTAGCTAACGGTGATATCCTTTTTCAAAGAATACAGCTTTTAGGTAGTCAGAGGAATATGAGGAATGGGAGTGTAGTAAGATATTTATTACAGATACATCTGAATGTCAACTACAAACACCCTAAAAACTTTCATTTGCAGGGAAAACATTTCAGTCAAAACAGAGTGACTCATTCAGGTAAAAGAATAAGAATTCCTGAGTCAGAGTGAGGAGAAAAAAAAGCAAGGAAAAAAATTAGTAATCCAGAAACATTTTCTTAATATAATTAGGGGGTGATTCATGGTTACTGAAGGCAGGGTTCTCTACACCACCTGCACATTTGAGTCACCTGGATAGCTTTTTAAATTACTGACTTAACACTGAAAATCACAAAACATTTTTGAGAGAAATTAAAGACAATCTAAGTAAATGGAAAGACATCTATGTTCACATATCAGAAGACTTAATGTAAAGATGACAGTACTCCCCAAATTGATCTATCGATTCAAGGCAATCCTTCAAAATCCTACCTTGTTTTTGCAGAAATTCACAAGCTGACCTCAAAATTCATATGAAAACACAAGGGATCCAGAAACTAGCCAAACCAATCTTGAAAAAGAACAAAGTTGGAGGACTCCCTTCCTGATTTCAAAATATACTACAAAGTAATCACGACGGTGTGGTACTGGCAAAGGATATAAATATAGATTAATGGAATCAACTGAGAACCTAGAAATGAATCCTGACATTTATGGTCAATTCATTTTTGACCAAGGCATGAAAACAATTTAATGATGAAACAGTCCTTTCGAAAAAAAAATACCAGTACAATGGGATATCCACAAAGAATGTTGGGCTCCTCCTTCCTTATACCATGCCCCAAAAAAACCTCAAAATGGATCACAGACCTAACAGTAAAAGCTAAAATTAAAAGTCTTAAAAGAAAACACAGGAGTAAATCTTTGTGACTTTGAACTAGGTAAAGTGTTCTTAGATATGACACCGAAAGCACAAGCAACAAAAGAAAAATCAGACCTCATCAAAATTAAAGGCTTTTGTGCAAAGAACATAAAAAGAGAATGTCAAACTAAGAGAAAATACTTGCAAATCATATATCTGTAAGGGACCTGTATCTAGATATAGAAAGAATTATTATAGCTCAGTAATAAAAATAAAAGTAGCCCAATTAAAAACTGGACATAGATTCTAACTAGCCATTTCTCCAAAGAAGATATATGTGCAAGAAAACATACTCAACATCAGTAGCTGTCAGGGAAATGCAAATTAAAACCAAAATGAGGTACCACTTCATATCCATTATCATGGCTAGAATCAGACAAATAAAAACAATGTTGGTGAAGATGTGGAGAAATCGGAATCCTATCTATTTCTGGTAAATGTAAAGTGGTATAACTACTGTGGGAAGGAGTCTGACAGCAATTCTATCCCTAGATATAACTCAAATCAAGAGAAATTAAAACACAGGTTCACACAAAAACTTTTACACAAATGTTGAGAGCATTATTCATAACAGCCAATGCAGAAATAGCCCAAATGTCCATTAACTGATGGAGAAATAAAATTTGGTAAATCTACAATGGAATATTATTCAGAAATAAAAAGGGATAAAGTACTGGTATGTGGTACAACATGGAAAACCTTGAAAACATTATGCTAAATGAAAGGAGACAATCATAAAAGACTGCATATATTTTGTGTTTGTAAGAAATATACAGAATAAACAAATCTATAGAACAGGATTAGTGGTTACCTAGGTCTGAGGAGGGTTAGGAAAATGAGGAGTGATTGCTAATGGGTATGGGTTAGTGAAATGTTCTTTGGAGAATAGTGTAAACGTTCTACAATTGACTGTGGTGTTGGCTGCACAATCCATGAATTTACTAAAAACCAATGAACTGTACTTTAAATGGATGAATTATGTGGTATGTTAATTGCATCTTAATAACAACACCCAGTCCTTCTCCTAGATTCTGATTTAAATAGAAGTGGGGTCCTGGCATCAATATTTTTTAAAAGTTCCCAATGTGATTCTATTAAGCATCCCAAGTTCAGAGCCTGTGACCCAAGAAGAGAGGGGGTGGGAAAAAAACAAATCTCCCCATACCTCCTGAGGATCCACCACACAGTAGTGATATAAATATGTATCCATGTAGAGTCCAGAAGCTGAAGATGTATAAAACTGGTTGCAGAGGGCAATAATTTGTGAGCCGTATAAAGACCCAGAAGTCTGGGCAGCTGGGTTGACTCCCATTATGTAGACGATTGTGGCAATAAACACCAGGGAGCCCAGGATAGCACTCACTATTATCACGGTCAGGTAATACCATCTTGTTCTAGATATTTCAGATCTTATAACACTGGTAATAAATATCACCAACGCAGCAATGAAACAAAAGGCAGCCATAGCCAATAGGAAGCCCTTTGCCGCTCTTGGATCTGTATAGCCTCCATAGCCATAACCGTAGCCATAACCATAGCCATTTCCATAAATTCCTCCATAAGGGTAGCCTAAACCACTTCCTATTACATTGGTCCCATAGGCTCTGTCCCAGGCAAGTGTGGAGGCAACACAGGCAAATATGGCAATGCACATCACGATAATAAGCATAGATAGAATCCGAATCACTCCTGGAGGAGAGGTCCATTTGTAGAAATGAAGAATTTCATCTTCTGGGTAGAAAGAATACGCCGTGTGAGACAGCATTGGTCGAACATGCATCTCTCCACCATACACGTCATTACTTGGTGCATAATGATTGGGTCTGCTGAAATGCACATGAAAATAACTTCAAGTTAGCACTTTTTGGAGATAAACAGAAAAAACATATAAAGTACTTGGAATAATTTAAACAAACCGGTGGCAAATAAAACTATTGTTCGTACTGCCCCCCTGCAAAGAGGAAATTTGTATCCCTCCAAAATTCAAATGTCAACATTGTAAGCCCCAATGTGATGGCATTAGGAGGTGGGGCCTTCCAGAGGTAATTAGGTTCTGAGGTGGAGCCCTCATGAATGGGAATAATGTCCTTATGAAAGAGGCCCCAGAGAGCTCTCTCACCTCTTCCGCCACGTGAAAATACAACCAGAAGTCGGCAGTCTACAACTCAGAAGAGGGCCTTCACACTATATATGTGTGGGGGAAGGGGGCACATGAGAAATCTCTCTACCTCACTCTCGATTTTGCTGTGGACCTAAAACATTTCTGAAAAATAAAGGCTTAAGAAAATGTAAACTATGTCATAAATCAGTGTTTACATCAATCATGAGTTGAAATGATAATATTTTGGATATACTGGGTTAAGTGAAATATATTATTAAAATTAATTTATTTTTAACATGGTTATAAGAAAACATAAAATTACATATATGGCTCACATTATATTTCTATAACACTGCTCTGAAGCAAAAAAAAAAAAAAGTTTAAAAGCAAGTAAAACTAAATTGTGTTGTTCAGGATGTATAAAGTGGTAAAATAATAGAGAAAAGCAAGAGATGACCATATGTCAGAACAGTGGTTTCCAGGGAAAGGAGAGGACACAAGGCAGGACTTTGAGGTATTCTGTTTCTTGATCTAGGTGATGATTTTACTTTGTCTTTATTCATCATCTCATATACACGTTCTGTGTCCTTTTTTATTTGCATATTATATTTCACCACTGTTTACAAAAGCAACACAAAATAAGTGTCAGACTTATGACACACTACTCAATGACTATTTTCTCTAACATATTTTAAGGACCACATTGTCATAAACAACTGGATCGCTACCATGTTCAGGTATTAGTTAGGAGGCTATACAATATGAACACAACCCCAACTACAGTTACCAGAGTTAAAGCTACAAACTATTTTAAAAAACAAAATCCCTACTAATGTTTGATAGCAAATATAAGAATTCACTGTTAAATCCCCAAGCAACTAAGGATGCCAAGAATCCTCAACTTTGCTTCTTGCTTTAGATAATGGCAGAAATCACTCTTAAAACTGACACTGTAAATCACATTATGCTAAGTGAAAGAAGTCACAAAAGACCACATATTGTATGATTCCATTTATATGAAATGTCCAGAATGGACAAATCTAGAACAGAAAGTAGATTGGTGGTTGCTGAGTACTGAGGGGAATTGAGGAGTGACTGCTAATGGGTAGGGGGTTTCTTTGGGGAGGGGGTCATGAAAATGTTCTAAAATTGTGGCGATGCTTCCACAACTTTGTGAACATATTAAAACCACTGAACTGTCCATTTCTAAATAAGTGAATTGTATGGTGTCTGGACTATATCTCAATAAGAGTGTTATTTAAAAAACTGATGTTATGTTGTCAATGGTCATCTAAACAAGGCATTAACATGAAAGTTTCATAACAACTGTGAAAAACAAAAAGGAGTAAATATACACACAATATAAGCCTTTACCATATTGAAGCAAACGTTTGATACAGGTGACGATAGTTGCCTCTGCAGAGAAAATTGTCATCCTGGAAGTTATGGGTAAGAGGGAAACTCATTTTTCACTAAATATACATATTTTATTTTTAGAAGTGAACAAACAATAGATGAAAGTTTCAACAATAGATATGTATTTTTTTTTTTTACACGCGATAGACTATTTAAAAAAGAAAACTAAAGAATTACTTACAATTCGTCAGGTCTATATGGAGGTGGACTTTCAAAAGGCCTTGAGGACATGGCTGATGTCAATAGTCACTCAGTCTTCAAGATGAGAAACGTCCCGTAGCTCCCAAGATAAGCCAATCTAAGCAACATAAGTAGGGTAATGGCATTACTACTGAGCTCAGAGTTTCCTTGCAGCACTAAGAAAACTGATGATACCAATCTCAAGTAACCTCTCATGCCACAGTTATTTTTCTTGTCCTTCTCACTGCTATTTTTACACATTGGACCATTAATTCTTTGAGCACAGGAAATCACTGAGCATAGGGCCAGCCTGGTAGCCCTCACAGCACCTAGCATCATGTTCTGCATATCAGTGGCATAAAATATGGTTTAAACTTGAATTTCTAAGTTGTAGTAATAAAAATTTCACAAAGCTTTTACAGCATAGGTAAAAATAGTATTGTTTCAAATTGCTTTTGAAAGTTCATATAAAATTAAGTGTATATGAAAGCATGTATCTAGAGTCTAGCACATACTAGCCCCTCACTGTTAACTAAAGCATAATCTGGTTTAAAAGTTTGCTTTTATCGTTACAAATGATTGCAAGATGCATCTCTGGATGGTGAGATTATGGACATTTTCCCCTTCTGTTTTTCCAAGTCTTCAAAACTGAGCATAATTTTTACAAAAGGGGGAAAAACATTAAACACACTGTATTAAAGAGTCTTCCTCTCTAAGAGAAAAGCAGAATGATTTTGTTCTAAAATTCCTCAGAGCATAAATCCCTAAACATCTGAGAGGCAAGTTCACTCAATGAATAAGTATTCATTAAGTGCCTCCATTATACCGGAGGAACCTGTGCAAGTATGAGACAGTTCTCCGGAAGGTCACACACAAAGAAAACAGCTACTACAACAGGCATTTTTAGGGCTGAAATACATGATAAAGTACAGTATGGAAATACCCGAAGACTTAAAGAGAAAAAAGGTGGAAGCTGGGAGAAGAGAGGGAAGGAAGAAGGGAGGAAGGATGCATGAGCAAGACCTGTATCTGAGTATATTATAGTGTCTAGCATTTTTTCTTTTTCAAATAAGGTATGTGCAGTCATACATCACTGTTAGGAACAGTGAATCAATTCGAACTCTTTAAACTTTGTTCTTTAAAATCAATGGCAACAATCTTCCATATCCTTAGGGACAATTTCAAATGTCTCAGAACAAAATATTGCCCAAATGTATATTAGGTATAACCTCAAAGATAAAAATATATTGAATGTTAGTAACAGCAACACAATTAGTGAAATTTTTTCAAACATAGTGAGGGAAGACTTCTCTACATTTTTTTTCGAAAACCATTTTATTGAGCTATAACACAGAGAAGTCCACAAACCATAGGTGTACGTAGCCCTGTAACTAGTACGTGAATACACAAATAAATGAGCAATTTAGGCCAAAATATTATGGTGCTATAAAAATAAAAATTCAGATTGTCTTTCTAACTGACATTCAGAAAAACATTAAGAAAAACTGAATTTAAACACTATTCATTGCAGGACCCTATTTTAAAGCTGAATGCCAAGTACTTGCAAATTGACCTGAGAAGAATCTTATTCCTTCTGTACCTATGGCTCACTCATTCAAGATTATGCCAAAAATTCTAGGCACAATGGTGGTTTTTGAAAATTCCAAATTAATCCAGACTCAGGCTGTAGTTTAAGTTTTGTCAAAAAAAAAAAAAAAAAGACAACAAAATCTCTTCAAACTGCTATTTCCTAAATTCAGAGTTTAGTTGTCACGTCTCCTCACCAGCAGAAATTTTAAATTGTGAAGCAAATAATTTTGGAAAGCTCATTAAGAACAAATCATGCCACACCAAATTCATTTCCTTTTTTGATGTTACCAGATCGGTACACGAAGGAAATGCAAAGAGAATCCTGAGAATCTTGAGTGCATCCTTGTGTACAGACAGTGTTAGGCAGATTCCTAAAGGGCTCAACAATGGAACCTAATTAGGATGAAAGAATGGACCATTTCCACCTGGAGGGAGGTCTCTAGTAGTGACCTCCCTCCAGGTGGAAATGGTCCATTCTTTGTGGTCAAGCTTATGCAGATTTGCAGCTAACAAACCGCTGGGTACAAGTACATCAACCTTGATCGAATTCTATGTAAGGTTAAAATGATGGGTTAAAACAAACCTAGAGGCCTGACATAAGTTCCTCATCTTCTCTGAGTCTCACTACCCTCCTCTGCCAAATGGGGGAATAATCTTGACCTCTAAGCTGGGATAAACTAAGTAAGACAATGAATTAAAGAAGATAAGCAAATGTATTCACAGCAAGGTGGTTATCCTGAAGGTGAGAAATTTCACGTTTAGGCAATTAGTATACTATATGCTTGTTCAAATACTGGTTGCATGAATAACATCATTTTTAAAATGTAAACTCAATTAAAAAAATAGTATATGTACTGACTAAGGGAGATTTGACTTAATAACTGTTCATTTTAAAAAGTGCATTTCCTTGGTGAGAATTTCAACAAAAGCGAACACACTATTCCAAACTCAGGCAGTATTCACAGAGATAGTGCTTAGATCTAGGAATGATACAATTATTAAAAGACAAACCTCCACCCAGCCTTGAAATTTGTGCATCATGCTCCAAGTAGGTGCCTCTCCCGGAGAGTGATTAAGATTATTAAAGATACAAAATTAAAAAAAAAAAAATTAAAAAAAACAAACAAACATGTCTTAAATGATTGAAAAATAGGAAATGTTTGGCCTGGAGAACTCAACTTAGAAGGACCATTATGGCAGCCTTCAAATATCTCAAGAACTGAGTTTGTAGTCCTAGAAAGGGTTCTTTGGGAGGTGGGGGGAATGGGGTCAGATTTCCTCTCAATGCTAGAAATATCTCCCTCACTTCACCCCACATGCCCTCCCAAAATAACAAATAACAATTTGATTTCATGCCATTTATGCAAAGCTTAAGCTGTTTGATACTTTGAGGATACTGGATAGGAGGTCTCTTTCAAGACAGTTGGTAACTGCTTTACGCCATAGCCAAAGGAGAAAGAGAACCAAGAACAGACTGTTGTCCGATGCCCAGCATAGCAAATCATGGCAGTGATAGGGACCTAAGTCAAATAACTAAGTAAGAGGGGCAAAAGAGAAGCAGCAGACCATTGCTGAATATGTTAGCTGAAAGCCAGCTAATGTTACCATATAATAAAAGTTCTCTTTTGAAGTTTCTCTGGAATTCTCTACCTTTCATTAGTCCCTATGGCCTCATATAAGTTTTCTGTAAGCTGCTTGATGTGAAGGTAAAATTCTTCCTATTTTCTTCTAAAGATAAAGTTATAATTATTGCTCTTTCAAAGAGATAAAAGATTAAATTTAATCTCATAAATTAACTATCTTTAAGCTCCCCAGTTACCTCACAGAGGGAAGTTTTCTTTAGTTGCATTTTGAGGCTTACCTGATTAGAATATTTAGTGGGCTTTTTTCATCCACATTACTATTTATGAAAATATTAGAGTAAAAAGACCGTGCAGATTTTTGTTAGACCTTTCATTTTAGACTCCAGGCTTGGAGCTGTTCTATAACCTAGTTACTTTTCTGAATTTGAATGTGGTATGTATCACCTAAGGATCTTACTGAAATATAGATTCTGATGCAGAGGTGGAGCCTGGAATTCTGCCTTTCCAAGAAGGTTACAGGTGATGCTCATATGGTTTTCTGTATTTGACCCTTTTCTCTACTTTGCCTTCAGACTGTAAGCTCTTAACTACTTTTGTTGAACTTGAACTCTAGACAAGAAACTCACAAAATCAAGGCCCTTCTCGGATTGAAACCTCTCACTAGGCAATGATTCTTAAAATATATGGTGTGCTTAAAAATTACCTGGAGGGCTTATTAAAAATGCCATTTCTGACACAGAGCTCGTCTATTTCAAAATCTGCCTAATTTCAAAATTTTAGACAGTTTATTAATGATGTGCCTATAACCTAAATAGAATCATTTAATATCAGGCACAACTTTAAAAACTTTTTAAAGGCAAATTAACTATTGCTGTATGTGATTGAAAAGGAACACACTGCCCTTAAATATATTTTTTACTTTTTAACAGTTTGCTTTAAAGAATAATTTTGGGCATAGCATTTTCAGACTTTTCCATTTCGTCTTAGCTCAGTTTTTTATTAGGACAGCTTTTGATCCCTACAGGTGTTTGCTCGCCTTTGAAATGGAGTTCTAATAAGGTCTACCTTTTAGAGCGGTTGATTAAATGATATTACGTACCAAATGCTTTTAGCACAGGAGGCACTGCCCATCATTCCCCTATAGAGCTTGAAAATTGTCTAAATCTTGCTATCCTCCACTCCATCATCTAACAAGGGAGGCACCTAATAACTAAATAAATGCAAAACTACAAAAAAGAAAAATGGTGTTTTGTCTGAGGAGATATCTGCTATTATTGCTCAACCATTTAAAATATCTATTTTTTAAAAAACATCGGAAAGAGAAAATAAACGTCCATACGAGCAATCCAAAAGAAAAACTGTTACACTTGGAAATGCGTAGTTTGAGAAATCTATCTTTAGATTTAAACTAGTCTAGAAAGAACTAGTTTTCAATCACAGCAAGAATCACCAACAGTGCCTTAAAGAGAAGGGTTTCTCTTTTCCAAGGATCCCAAGAATACACCTGTTGTGCGCGAGGGCACTAACCTGGAAGGCTGCCTCCTCCCCGCCCCGAGTCATTTCCCAGATGGGCACTTTGCCCAGCTACCTCCATGGCTGGCCTGAGGATGCCGTGGCTTTTCCTCTGGCTCAGTCGCTTCACCTGGGACACGAGCGGCTCGGGGTTGCTCTTCCAGCCCCAAGATGCAGAGGCCATTTTGGCCCTTCAACCCACCTCTCCAAGCACACTTCTTCCCACGCAGGCAACAAGTCTGAGGGACGCAGAGTTCTCAAAACCCGGCGGAGGTCTCGAAACCCGGCGGCCCTGCAGAGGGCAGGTCCCAGGGTCCGTGCGCCCCCGCCGCGCCCAGAAGCACCCCCCCGCAGGCCGCGCTGGCCGAGCAGGGACCGCCCCGAGGCCTTTTGGTCACGGCTGAGAATCCGATCGTGAGCAGATTCCCTCGAAATAAAGCCTCCCCCAAAATTAAATCCCCGCCCCCCAGCTCAAATCTACTCTGGTTCACCCAACTCGCACTAAGTGGACTCAAAATAGCGGGTCGGCCCACATTGTCACTCCAGGAATACAGTATTTCACGGATTCAACCCAGCCACCCCCTCTCCCCAGGATTACCCAAAGGGGTGGGGTGGGGCGGAAATAATGAAGTCTCCCAAGATCTAAGCTGTCCCGACCAGCGAGCGGCCCTCCTCACTCTAGCCTTGGGGCTTAGGAACCCCGAGGAATCGAAGCCGCGCCTCTCTCGCTGAAAAGCCCTCAGAACTGCACACGAGAGCAGAGCGCAGGATTCTCACTGTCCATGAACTTCCCGCCCCGCAAAAAGCGAAAAGTTGACCGAGCTGTTTGGGCACACGAATCCTTAAGCGTTTCTGTGAAATGAGCTGATCGGCGCCTCCAAGTGGCCCCTGGCACCCGGACGCAGCTTTCAAGTTAGCCCAGGGCTGCTCTCTCCGCCTCTCCGACTCCCGCGAGTCCCAGCCCAGGGGCGAAACCGCCACCGAAACCAGCGCCGGGCACCCTACCCCCGCGCCTCCCCTACAAGACAGAAGGGCCGCGGTCCCCCTGCGGGGACTCGGCGGGTACCGTGCGCCCCGGGCATCGCGCCCAGCTCTCACCTACTCACTGCAGCCCGACCTGACCCACGAAGGACCGCGGGAGGCAAGGAGCGGTCTCACCTGGCGGGCGCACCTGACGCTGTGCGAGCTGCCAATCAAGCAGCCGGGGACAGAGCTAAGGGCTCAGCTCTCCTCCTCCTCCTTACCCCCAACCCAGGCTGCCCTGCCCCCGAGCATGCGCACCAACGCCAGGCCCGGCTGCGGGAGGTATGCGGCCTCGCGCCCGCAAGTCTTACCTGCTGCACCCCGCACTGGCTCCTCGGTTCTCTGGCCAGCTCTCCCGGGAGTTCCGCCGCGTCCTCCAAAGGAAGGAGAAAGCGGGAGGCGGACGCTGGCCAGGAGGTGTGGTGTGGCCGCCTCCTTCTTTGGTGACCTATTCACCTGAAACTCGGATGGGAGGGGGAAGGGAGCGGTGGAGAAGAAGGCGGGAGAAACCGGCTCTGCCCCGCACACCCTTGCAGCGCTCGGAGTTAAATCCCCGTCTCGGCTGCAGGGGCGGGGACTTAGCGCAGAGGAAAGGCGCGGGTTCCGGGAGGCAAGGGGGGCTTCCGAGGTGGTACTGGACCACCCTGGGGCGCTCTCGGTGCTTCGCGGGTTTCTGGTAGAACAGTAGACTGAGGGCTAGAGGGGACTGTTTTCCTCCTGAAGAGGGCCCAAGGGTGCTCAGCTCTTTGGCAAGAAAAGCGCGTCTTTACACACACTTTTCCTGCTCTGAAAATGTGGTTAAAATTTTGTCAGAAGCACCCAGATGTGGAGATTTTCAAAAGTGATGCGTAAATATAAGAACTGTTGCCGAATTTCTGGATCGAGAAAAAAAGATCATTACTCAGAGTAGTTAAATTGGAAGTGACATACTGTAGATGTTGGTGTCAATAAATTTGCCAACAAAATTAAGTGCATGCTACGGTATACATTATTACCACTTCGGGGTGCCCTCCCCAAATTTAATCCTGCTATGATGCAGAATCTGCTCTTGGGGAGATTTAAACTTTTAATAATCTCTTTGGCTTAAAAAAAAAAAAAGAAAAGAAAACTAGTTCTATATGCCTTATTCTATTTTTGATCTGGAAATTGTGTCCACTTAGGAAAATTCATTGTCTACACTTCATGATGTGCACACTTTTATATATTTTTGTTGAATTTCAGTATCTTTTTTAAAATAGTAGTCCAGAATGTGGCAATTTTAGTTCTTGCTATTTAATTGTATGCATTGCAGGCTAGAATTTAGGTTTCTTTAATCCTGCTTCACTTTGTATTACAATCTGGAATGTCAGCATTGCTAATAAATTTCTGTCCGATCCCACCCACTGCTCTGCCTTAAGTGGTTAGAGATGTGACTCTCCCATACAATAAATCTTAAAGGCATAATTCAATATTTAAGGAAGTAAAAGCATTATATAAATATAAAGTATTTTAAATGATGAGAGTCTTAATTAGGTCATTAATCTGATTGGTATTGTTTTTGTGGGAGTCATTGCTACAATTATTTTATGACTATGTAGTTTTTGAATGATGCAGTTTAAATTGGTGTTTTTAACACTGGGGAAGTCAGGTTAATCCTCTTAATGTTCCCTGTCAGATTACTGAAATCTCCAAACATTCCACTCGGTTTATAATTAAACAAGGGAACATTTCCTAATACTCTCAGATTTATAAACACGTCTGTTATTTTATAGTATACTTGACATGTTCTGAAGAGAACTTAGAGTTTTCCCCTCACTTTTTAAAACTGAACTGTTTTGTATACCATAAAATTCGCTCTTAATTTTAAAGTGTATACACAATTTAGTGGGTTTTAGTATATTCACAAGGATGTACAACTATCACTATCTAATTCCAGAATGTTTTCACCCTAAAAAGAAACCCTGTGTCCATGAGCAGTCACTCCTGGTTTCCCTTGCCTCCAGACCCTGGCAACCACTAACCTACTTTCTGTCTGTATCGATTTGCTCATTCTGGACATTTTGTGTGAATAAATAACACAATGTGTGGCCTTTTGTGTCTGGCTTCTCTCACCGAGCATAATGTTTTCAAGGTTCATTCATGTTGTACCTACCAGTACTTCTTCCTTTTTATGGCTGAGTAGATTCCATTGCATGGATACACTACATTTTGTTTAAACCTTCATCACTTGATAGACACTTGGGCTTTTTCCACTTTTAGCTCTTATGAATAATGGTGCTATGAATATTTTGTACAAATTCTGTGTAGACATGTGTTTAATTCTCTTGGGTAAATTAGATTTTTAAATTAAACTTTTTATCATTTTAAGAGACTAATGCATATCATATTATTTTCCTTATTCCCACACCAGACCTAAATCCAAAGGTGTGTTGTGTTAGACTGGAAAGTTAGTTACCATATTTTATTTACTTTCCTTATTCATTCAACAAACAATTTTTGAGTGCCTACCATGTACACAATAGTGAACAAAACCCCAAATCCCTGTCTTAGAGAAACTTATTTTCCTGCTGAATTCATGCATGTGGAATAATAGAATTTATTAAGTCAAACCATATGAAATTGGAAATAATTGCTATTTTAAACCAGAAAATGGCAATTTCATGTGGTCCAACTTAGTACTAAGCTAAATTTCTGTTGGAATATGGCATGTCATTTTTATGCCACTCAGATTAATTTTCCAAATGATGCTCACAACATTGAAAAATGTAAAAACTGTGTTCTTTTAACTATTGCCTAATGGTGTGCATATTAGGTAGTAGTTGAAAATGTTCCAAAAGAAAATCCAGACTTAAAACCTAAATGCATCATTCTTCAATAGCAAACAAAATTTGTTGAATGCCATGCTCAATGTAATCATGTTACATAATCATAAATTGTAGCAAAATTTTTAATTATTTTTAATTATTCTTAATTATTCCTTCTTGGTAACGCACAGTGGTATTATGGACCACGATCCACTATAGAACATTATTTGATGAAAATCTTCACAACTCCAAGTAAATATTATTCTCAGGGGAACTATGATTAGAAATTTGTTGATTTTACCTGCAGTCAAGTGAATGGTAAAATAAAAAAAACAATTTTCTCTTCGGTTTTATATGTGAAGGAGAAAGTTAAGAGCTCAGAATTTGGTGTCAGAAACTTAGGTTCAGATCTCATGTTGCCACTTATTAGCTAGATGGATTAATCCTTGAGGGAAGTTAAAGTACATTAGCCTTATTTTTCTCCACTATAAATTTGGGATAATAATAAATAGTACTCTCTTCCTAAGATTGTTGAGAGGCACATGGACCGTTCACCAAGAGACCATATATGCTGGGTCACAAAACCGGTCTCAATAAATTTAACAAGTCATTACTGTATCCCACCTGCCTGAAACAATCCCTTTCACAGAATAATTCCACAAATACTTGTTGAATGAGTGAATGAATATAACCCTGGTTCTCAAATCCAACATGCCCGTGGAGTCCTGTCCTTCTCTCACAGTCTGCTGCCATTGCGAAAACAGCACATTCCTTAATAGCATTTCAAGGTTTACGTCTCTAGTACTAGGTCTTAGATGAGAAAAAAAAAAAGGGATTAGAATATTTCCACTCTGCCTCACCTGCTTAATGAATGAATTCAAGGATTGGTATTTTTTCAAGGGCAACTCAGTTTGGAGTTGCTGAGGGCCTGACTGGAAGGGCCTCTAGTTACCCCACCCAGTCACAAGGTGGGAGGCTCCTAGTTCACATAGGGCAGTTTCCCAGGACAGATTTATGGAGGAATTTAAGAGGAAGTCACCAGGAAGGCAATTTCTGAGAGGATGAGTAAAGCTCTATCTTAGTTCCTATGAATTAAGCAAGATCCTCCAGAAGGGAGCCAAGGTTAAAGCAGAGTCAGTCCCTGAACTGGTAATTCAACAAGTGGAATAATAGTACTAGTAATCTCCATCATTACTCAGAGTAACCATGTGTCAGGTGCTATATTAAGTGCTTTCTGGACTTTTATTTTTTTATTTTTACAACAATCCTATGATGTGATATTATTTTCCTTATTCCTAGGACAGTAAAGCCCAAAAACCTTTAATCATTTACTCAAGATATCTGCTAAGTCGTAGAGTCTAGATTCAAACACCTAGATTAACAGCCTTGCTGCTTTTTGTCTCTAAAAAATAACCAAACTCCTTTAAACTACCCATAATGAGATATCAGAGTGCAGCCGTAGAAAAATTTTCCTAAAAAAAAAAATCAGGGTATAGTGAAGTATTATGGATGAGAATGAACCAATTAGAGCAACTCCCAACAACATGGTGAGCTTTCAAACATAATATTGAACAGAATAAATGAGACCCCTGCCCCCAAATACAGCATGATTCCATGTATATAAAGTTCAAAACTAAACTACATAATTTGGGGATTCTATACATAAGCGGCAAAATTGCAAAGAAAAACGAAGAAATTATTATCTTAAAAGTTAAGGTAGTGGTTACCTCTAGGAGGAAAAGAGAGGATAAGTATGGGAAGAGAAGCGTAGAGATGCTTTTGGGGTGCTGGCAATATTTTGTTTTTTTACCTGAATGCAGGTTACATGGCTGTTAGCTTTACAATTTATTAAACAGTACACATATGTTTTATGTACTTTTTTGGTTTGAGTTTTATATTTTATAATAAAAATTTTATTTAAAAAAATAGAATTTCGAGACATTCTTTAAAGGTGGTTGGAGACCTATGTCTAGTTGTTTTGTGAATAACATTCCTCAAATGCCAGAAGAAAACAACTTTATAGGATCAGAGTAAGTTGGGAGAATCTCCTGAGGAGAGAAGAAGGGTTTTTATCTGGGACAGAATATTGCCACAATTATGTGGATTATGCAGAGAAAGAGATGGGGCTGATTTTTG